TTTTTTTTTGTTTGATGTTGACATATAATGTTCATTACATTTAATGCTTTTCTGTTTTTTTCTATTTTACTATACATACACAAAACATGTTAAACGTATTGTAAATGACAAAAAAAAAACAAACCAAACAAGCAAATGAAAATGACAACCAGAAAAATTCCATTAAACCAATGAATGAAAAGAAAAGAATATTCTAATTTCTCATTCATATTCATTTCTTTTTTCTTTTTCTTCTTCTTTTGAAAATGTCATAATTTTTACAGAGAAATAATTGAAGAACAATATAGGTGTGAATAGTATTTTGTTTCTGTTGATTTGTTTGGGTTAGGTTAGATTAGATTATAAAACTGGTGTATGGAAAAAAAATCAAAGAATTTTTCAACCCAACCTAACCTCTATTATTATTATCATTATCATCCTTGATTCTGATTATTGAATTGTTGTCATTTACAGATGTTTTTGTTTCTGTTTGTTTCCAGATCTTCATTGATTTATTGTTTTTAATTCAATGAAATACAAGTGAATCGAAAATAGAAAAAACGAAAAATTCTTAGTTTTTTTTCATTCAGTTGTTGTTGTTGTTGTTGTTAACCCTATGGTATCATCATCATCATTATTTCCATTCAAGACCTAAAAGAAAATAAATAATGACAACAACAACAACAACAACAAAATTCATACATTATCATTATCATTGTTGTTGTTGTTGTTGTTTACTATCATCATTATTATTATCATCATCATCAGTTTTTTGTTCAGCTATTTGGGTTTATATAGAACAAGAATTTTTGCTAGTAAACACCATATATATACAAGCACACATCAGATATTGTATTGTATGTTTGTTTCGGTCGACATAGTTACCAAGACCATCAACCAAACAACAACAAAATGTCATCATTATATAATCATTGTTATCTTGACAACAACAACAACAACAAGCCAAACAAAATCATATAAAATATTGAAGCAAAAAAAAAATATATTTTCTGATCCATAAAGGTGAAAATAGCCAAAGTAGAAAACAAGTAGCCAAAAAAAAATGTTTGTTTGGCCATTATTTATTTATTTATTTTTCTTCTTCTTCTTTTTCAACTATTTCTACATGATAGACACATACACATTATGTAATTCTCTTTGTTGTTTTGTTGTTCAGTCGTGTCATGTTTTTTTAGTTTGATATACACAATAGGGATTTTTTTTTTGATAATAATAACCATCATCAACATTGGAAAAAATGAATGGAAAAAAAAGTCCAAAACAAAACAAGAATTTTGTTTTTGTCATCATCATCATCATTGTTGTTGAATTTTTTGAATTTTTGTTTTGTTTTTCTCTTGATGAATTTTCTACTACTTTTTTTTGTTTTGTTCAATTTCAATTTATTCATTACGAAAATTTGTTTTTGTCCTGGATCTCTTCTCTGTTGTTGTTTGGTTGGTCGCTGGTTGAAATATATAATGTGAAAATAGGCAGGCAGTGTAAATGAAATAAAATTTTAATGTAATGGCATGAATGGGGAATTATTTATGAAATTTTTCTGTTTTTGTTTTGTTTCGTAGGAATTCTCGGTGAAAATTTTTCATTTTTTTTTTAATTATTCAATGAAGTAATGAATTTTGTTTTTTTCATTTTGTTTAATTGAAATTTTTTAAAAACAGAAAAGTCAAAGGTCGATTAGGTTAGGTTGACTGTGACCATGAAAAAAAATTGAAAAACAAAAAAACGTAAATTGAAAAACAGACAAACAAAACGAAAAATGGTCAGCCTCATATGTTCAAATGGTCAACATTTTTCTTTTTTCGTCCAAACATTGGCAATGAGTTTGAATTTGAACGTTTATTTTTTCGTTGTTTTCTTTTGCAATTAGTTTTTGTTTTATACTTTAGAAATGGTTGTTATTTTCGAAAAGATGTTTAAAAAAAGAAGAAGAATAAGTAAATAAGTAACGAAAGACAGGCAGAAACAAAGAAAATTGATTGTTATTCAATTGTAAAAGCAAAAAGAAAGAAATTCTGTCTAGAAAAATAATTGATGATCAATTGATGGAGAAATTCGTTTTTGTGTGTGGTAAAAAAACCTTTTTTTTCTGGTCATTTTTTCCGAGAATTTTCCCGGAAAAAATGTTTTCGGAAACTTTTCCAAAAAACAGTGTTTTTTCACAGTTAATTCATCATTTTTGATGACTTTCAAGAATTTTTTTCTGTAGGATGTTTTTCAAAAGCAAAAACATATTTAAGCCTTTTAAAATATTAAATCATTTTTCGTTTTGGTAATCTTGGGTGAAAACAGAATGTGAAAAGATTTTGGTTGAATCTTTAATGTTGTTTTTGGGTTGAAAAACAAAAAAAAACATTGAAGAAAGTCGTATAATAAGTTTCTTGAGCTGGATTTTTTATAAAAATCTTTTCTTTTTTTATTATTCATAAATTTTCGTTCCCTTGTTGCTGATGATGATGAATGTTTGAAATGTTTTTCATTTTCTCTCCAAAATTTCAAGAATTTTTCATTTGAATTTTAAAAAAATTCTGCAAATTCTCGGGAACATTCCTTGTGTACTTGCTCGGAAATTTTTCCTGCTTAAACTTTTTTGGAAGCAAAAAAGTGATGAATAAATTTGATTGCCAATATATTTTGCCGAAAATTGTTTTTTTTTCGGCCAAAAAAGAAATCGTTTTATTTATTTCATTCACACATACAAGGTAAATGTTTGCAAAGAATGAAAAAAAGTTACATTTTCATTCAATTACAAATGAATCTACCGAGAATGAAAGAAAAAAAAATTCTGTGTAAACAAACAAACCAAACAAAATCAAATCAAAGAAAAGAAAAGAAACATTCATTTCATTCACTCATTTCATTATCATCATCATCATAATAGTAACGATCTACCTGCCTACCTGTCTACCTGTAACCACCGAATCATAAACGATTTTAATTGTTTTTTTTACTTTCTTTCTCTCTCTCTCTCTCTCTCTCTCTCTCTCTCTCTCTCTCTCTTCCTTCCTCTCTTTTACTCCATTCTCAATTTAACAACCATTCG